TACTTAAGAAGCCAGGGATGCCAGCACATGCATGTAGTCCTATTACCAAGGAGGTGGAAACAGTGGCCCCCTGGAACTCTCTGGCTCACCAGTTGGTAGAGATAAAGTGCTAAGGTCAATGTCTAGTGGTAGCTCTTGTTTCAACAAATAAGATATAGAACTGTTGACAAAGGCACCTGTACACACATGTGCACGAATATGAACATGCATACACAGTGTGAGAAAGGTCTTTTCCATACAATATGTGACTGAAATTTTGATGAGAATTCTGCTCACTTGGAAGAGAAGTTGATACCCACCAATAGTTGGTAAAGAGAAACATTGTTAGGATAGAAGAGGAATGTGGTAGCAATCGAGACGTTCCTTCCTAACCCAGTATAAATTAACACCTAAGTCTCTGGCTAGGAAGACGACACCTAAGCACTAAAGGGCCGATCCTAACTGCCTAAGTTCTGACTCTCCTTTTGTAGCTGCTCACAAAAACATCTCAATGTGTACCACCCCCAGTCTGTTACACGCTTTCCTGGGTGCCAGACTAATTTTATTAATAAAATGCAGTTACTGAGAAACATCACTGCACAGATCAGGTTCCAAGGACAAGTTTCTTTTTGTGTGGTTCTGATGAAAAACGGCCAAAGACCCTATGGTGTTTGACCACACAAAATACTTGAAATTTATAAAAAGGCAACACTTTGTTACTGCTCTTCTCTTGGCTGTACTGGTTCGATTTCGCTGATGCTGGTATCTGCTAGGGCAGGAGTAGTCCCCAGTTAGGCATGGTTAGCTAGCACTCATGCTGCTATGGCAACTCCTCTTTCTGAACAGGGAGAGGAAAACGAGATCTCTATGTAGGTCGGCATGGTTGGGGCACTGCTCAACAATTCTGGAAGACTTCACCCAGGATGCCTCCTGTGTTGATCTGATGCTCACACAACGGCACCGAAGCACTGCCTCAAGCCACAGAATACATTTTCCAGCACAGCACAGCTAGCGGCACCATCAATTCTGCCTGCGATCCGTGTCTGAGAGGGAAAGTTCTTAGGGGTTCTGTTTCAACCTATCTCAAGGACTAATTAAATCCTCATTACTACCTTCTAATTATTCAAATACTGTGGGATTATGCTCAGGAAGTCCCTGCTGGCACGCTAGATGAAAAGGGTTAAACAAGCTGTGTTGGTTTTGCGAATCCAGTTCTAGCATAGCCCTTCAGAAAACCACCAGCATCAACGTGAATATTTAACTAGACACCACTGTGAAAATTAAAAGGGGATTCAATTAAAAGGCTTGCAAAAAATTAATTTTGACCTCTCTACATCTGTCCAAATAAATAAGGCTTCCTTCAATATTTTTACCTAATTGCTAATCCAATAAACCAGAAGGGCATTTACTAGTTTTATTAGGTTTACAGTGTTTTAGGGGTTAAAACTGTGACCCCTTTAATGTTAGTACTTATTATACTTATTTATCTACTCGGATGACTATTCCATAGTCCAAGCAGTTCTGAGAAATGGGCCACACATTGATGACTTTTTCAAATTGCTCTTTAGGAAGTCTAAGATGTACACACTAAAAGTAAAGAAACAAGGCTCCTACCAGCCTAAACACCTCTGGGGCACTTTTCTAACACTCTACCCCTTCTGTCCAGATGACGGCAACTGTGCATGATGTAACATGGTTCTACAGAAAGATCTGGTTTAAAACAAGAACCAGGAACAAACCTGCTGTTACAGCTTAACTATGATATGCCCTCCACAGCCTCCTGTGCTGAGGTCTTGGCTCCAATGGTGGGAGATTCAATCACAGTTTGCATAATTGGATCATGAAGGCTCTGAGTTAGTCGATAACTTATCCACGGACAGATTCCTATTCTGATGGTAGTGTTGGGAGGTAATGGGAGTTAGGAAGGAGCTGGGCTTGGCTGTAGGAAGCCTGTCAGTGGAGGGCCTATCCTGTTCCATTTATCTGTGCTCCCCAGGTGTCTCAGGGGACTAACGCTCCGGTGTGCCATCTTCTCTGTGATACTTCACCTCAGCCCTAGTCCATGGAGCCCGCTGATCTTGGACTACAACCTCTGAAGCCCCAAACCAAAACAAACCTTTCCACCTGTCAAATTACTTATATGAGGTCTTCGTCACACCAACCAAAGCTGACAAATACATGTTATTACAGAGTATCAAACTCAAGTTTTAACCTTTTTAAAAAGAATCCTTCAGTTAATAAACGTTTCAGCATTGAACTGTCAATGGCGTGTTATGTTGGAAAATAGGTGAAAGTGTAGAGAGAGCCCCATACAACAGTGGCTTTCACTTTCCTAATGCCGGGACCCTTTAATACAGTTCCTCATGCTGCAGTGACTATTTCATTGCTACTTCATAACTGTAATTCTGCTACTGTTAATCATAATGTAAGTATCTGACATGTAGGATGTCTGACAGGTGACCACTGTGAAAAGGTCATCTGACCCTTAAGGGGTCGAGACCTATAGGCTAAGAATCACTGCCACAGAAATGAAGGAAGAAGCCAATCAACACCGAAGCATCTCTCTCCTTTCTGGAAGCCTCGCTGCCACATCTGTATGTAGGCACGACTACCTTCCTTCTAGAGCAGGAAAGGAGACAGTTGTAGTGCGTCATGGTCATCTGCACTGAAGTACAATGTGTGGAAAAGGCTTCACAACTGACGTCCTTTGACAGAGCCACCAGGAGAGAGGAAGGAGCAGAGTCTGCGGAACTCAGAAACTCGTCCTTGAGGATATGTGAGCATCGTAACTGCCTGTAGATACCAAAGTTGTTCAGACCCATGCGAGCAAGACCTTGCCATTTGCGAACCTCTTTTAAACCAGGTATGTTGTTTGTTGATGGGAACAACACATGGGCCAAGCAGAAGCAATAATATCAGGACAAAAAGCTAAAAGGATTCATTCAACAGCGTGAGCCTGGAGGACGTGGCTCCAGGACACTGCTGTTATGGGGACTTGAGGCAGGGCTCAGAAACTGCCTAGCGCATCTTTGTGTGGGCCTGTGTTCAGGTAAGTGCTTACATGATTCTTGACGTGAACGACAGCATGTGTCCTAGAACACACAAGGAGCAGAATGTGGGGCTCAGGGTTTCCCCATCTCACCACAGCACGTGTGAAAGGAAGCCACTTGGCGTGCATATCTCAGCCCTGAGCCTTAACAACACCTGGGGGCTGGAAGAAGCCATTCTGAAGACAGATACTAGCTATCAAATATGTAAAACAAGTGTTTTTTCTATTGTATCAAATGGTGCTAAGAGCAAACATTTCTTATTAAATTTCAACAAATAAGAAGCTTATTTTAATTCCCTTTTCTAACTTTTAAAGGAAAATTAACTCCTCTATGTCAGCCCATAATTTAAGAGCTACTTTTGAAAAAGGAAGTTTTGCTTTCTTTGGAAGCTGTCTAGCCAGCTCTTTTAGGGAAGGAGGTTTAGGGAATATGCTCATAAAAGATCTAGCAACTTATAAAACTAATTATTAACTTGCTACTTGAAGGAAATGGTTGCTACAATAACCCAGATTGTCAGGTAGCCAGAGTATTAGCCAAATCACACTAATGGTAAGAGGGAAGAAAACAACGACCAGGATAATGCCTCTGCAGGGGAAACAACCTACCTGCCCTGTGAACTGACTGGACTCAGCGTCCCCACGGATGGCAGGTCTATGCCTATGTTCAGATCTTATCAGTTTTAAGAGTTGGAGAGGGGCTGTGAGGGGCTGTGAGGGCGTCTCTCTGCTACCTAGTATGCTGTACTTACTATTTTAGGACTTCCAAACAAGAGTTATCTATGTCCTGCTCAGTGCTGGCCTGGTCTGGGAGTGTGGGTGCCCAGTGCAGGAACGATTTTACTGTGACCTCACTGGCCCAACTTCAGACCCAAGCTGTAAGCCAGGACCAATGAACCATAGCCCCTTTGCGTCCCCTCACACTGGCAACAGCTGGGCGCTTGTCAACAATGCTGACTAAACTGTGTCCCCCTAACCTCCTGGTGAGAAATCTGGGGCAGGCCCAGAGATGGAATTCATAAGTACACATAGCTCACACACACTTTAAAATTTCACAGCCATCTCTACCATTCTCCCAGAAGCACTCAGGTACCCAGCACTCAGAACCTTGTGTCTCTACGCCTGCCTATGTGGAAAAGGTAAAACCCACCTGACCCACAAACAGAAGCAGTCCATATGAAACTAGGTTAAAATCATCCCTGGCCCAGTGGCGATGCGCAGCCCTTCTCTATGCCAATCTGGGTTAAAACTGTCTTTCCTTGCCCTCCGCCCCCAGGAGCAACAGTACCTTTCCTACGAGGACAAGAGGACTGAGGGATAAGCCTAAGGGACACCCGGCGGTATGAACACACCATGGAGTGACACGCAGCGCCCAGTAACGCCAATGAAGAGTTCGTAGATGCTAGACAACAACTGTTTGGAAGCATCAGGAAAGCACATGCTCCTTTTCTGACCAGGGTGCCACCAACCTTCTAGTGAGGGAATTGATGTGAACTCAACAGTCTACCCCAGAGGGCTGACCATATGATCTCCCAAGTGGACTCCAGTCTGAAGACCTTACAATTTTATACAAAGTCTTGCTATGTGCTTAAAATCTGCTGGCAAACATCACAGGAATGAGTGATCAGTCAAAACTGTTGTCCTACACACAGACACACATACTTTCATACACTCACACACGTACAGATGCACACACTTGCATACACATACACATGAACATGCACACACACACACACACAAATGTAGACATTAGTTTATCAAAATGTATACAGATGATGTTTCACGATGCATATTCTTTGACTCTTGAGTCACCCTTGGCTAAATGTCACCCAATCTATAAGAAAGACAGCTTCCTCTTCATGATTTCTGTTACATGAAAGCTTGTGTTCATTTGACAAAAAACATGATCTGTGTGGGTGAGCAACCTCATCCACCTTGTGTACAGTGGGACTGCTGGGGATGACCCGAGACTCACCTCTTTCCTGTGGCATTGGTGACTGGCTCAAGGCAGGATGGGAACTGGATTCTGATTGGCTCCCCGGCGGTTGGGGAGGCATCTGGCTGCCTGTAAAACACAGGAGGGAAACATGGGTTTATACTGTGGATTGATATTGCGACTACAGAAACCAAGATGCAGTTAACAGCTCACTCTCGTGACCACAAAGGCAGAGAAGGAAGCTCAGAAAACACAGGACTTCTTCTTTCCCCTGTAAAATGAAGCAGATAAAGATATTTACCAAAAGACCTGCTTAAAAATGCAAAAACTGCTGAATGGCTTTTCAACCTCACGGAGCAATCAACCAGTGGCTGCAATTCGACACAGCCTTCACCACATCCCAGAAACCCAAGACGGTCATCCAAACTTAGCTCTGGAGTCTGAACTCAGCCCCACAGGATAAGAATGAAAAACAACTGGCATTCACTCACTGGTGATAGCCAATCAATATTGTAACATCAATTTCTAATAAGCAATCAGAGATTCACTAAGGCACACAAAGCGGGAGGTATATTAGCACTGAAGAGGGGCTTTGTCCCGCCACTGTTGATTTCTGTTGCTCATACAGCAACAGCATTTATTTAATTCCCAGTAATTTAATGTTTATTCAATTATTTCTTCACATATAATGCAAGTTTCTTGAGGTGAGAATCACGTCTTTTCCGTCCTCCCTCCCTTTGCATGAAGAATATACAATAGCTCATCATCTCAGAATACAAAATAAAAAAAGACACTTATTTTATTGATAAGAGAGAGAGATCAATCATGTGGAGGCTTGATGCATAATTCTGAACTAAGCATCAGGAAGGTCGTTTACACAATTAACTCCCTTCCTGTCCCGGAGGTTTAGATGCACTTCTAAGGCTAAAGACACAGCAGAATTCAAAAGTACTGAATTTAATACCACCCTGAAGGCCCAAGCACTCACAGCATGGGGGTATTGCTATTTTATGCTTTACCTTATCCCTCTGTTACAATGAATATGAAAGAGACACCCCCAACACACACACAATTTCCCCACATTCCTCTGAATGGTGGTCACGTGATCAGGACAGCAGGCGCTAACTATATGTTGATTCCCCAGGTCCTGTTCTCCCCTAGCCAAATACACTACTGACAAGAATTATTGCCGAGCAGAGACAGAAACTTCAAGATCACCACCAATTCAAGTCACTGGAGGTTGCAAGACACACATCTGTGCATCTCAGTCTTGGAGTCTGCAGGGACTGCCATGAGTAACTCTAATAATAATTCTTGCACAGGATAGCAAATGGAAGGCCAATGATTTCCACCGCAGGTAGAAGGCAATAGTTACGAAAGCAAGACTGTAAAATAACCCTCAAATTCTTATGGGGGGCTTAGGCACCCCACTTTTAGAGAATATAAAACTTGGTACATATTTCTGAGTATTTCTTTGTCACACCCAGGAGATACCTTGAGCCACGAGGAGCCCCTAGATGTGCCCACTCAGTAACAAAGACGACTTGACAAATAGCCCAGTGTGCACCAACTGGCATTATCTTAGGCATCTATAGTAACCTAATATTAATACCCAATAATTACCTGTACAGTAAAAACGTTTAACATGCTGGTCTAAAACAACTCCAAGGGCAAACGCTGGTCACTGACGCGCTATAGATCTACACAAATTGCTCTGTAGCCACTGCGGGTTGCATGCTTCCTATGAAATGAAATGCCCCATGGCCCCAATCTATAGTCCATTTAGGAATTTAAAGCATTCTGTAGCCAAACTCAGACTTTTAAAAGTGTCACTGGGGAATGAGCTGCCGCAAGACAGTAAGCGCTTCCACTATAATGCTTGCTTCTGCATGACAGGCTGGAGTCATAGGATCACACAGAGAAAACAAACAGCAATTTTATGTCAACACAGGGCAGTATGGCTTCCACTGTGCATGCCTGAGGCACTGTTATCCCATACGATGCACCAAGCAAAAATAAAAAGGCTGCAAGAAACTCACGCCATCATGCATACAGCATCATCGCCACAGCCAACCACTGCTGTGGGCTACCTAGTGCAATGGAAGGGTGATGCCCCTTCATAGCAACGAGAAATGCACACATTAAATTAACCCTCTGAACAAAACAACCAGCTGTTTAATGTTGAAGAAAAAAGTTTACGCCAATTTCCCTGCTTTCACCCTCTTTTTTTCTTGGCCTCTTCCACGACTATTACATAACCGTGATCACTGGGGTTGCCTGTGTGCATGCAGGGATAACCGCATAACTACTGTTACAGCAGTAACATACATGTGAAGTAACACAGGAGAACTCACTGTGTCCACAGTCCACAGAAGGAAATCCAGAGCCTTTGATGAACTGAATTAAGTAAATCCTTCAATCTGTGGGGCTTTATATATGTTAACTTTAAGTAAACTCTTTCAGAGTTTGGTAATTATTTCAAAGGAGGACACAGCCACATAAGGCAAACAAGTCAACCTTAGGAACTCCAACCTCCATAATTCAGTCTGAACCGTATTTCAGACCAGAGGCTGCTTCCTTTGTTACGCCCCAGGTTTTACTCGCGTCTATATCTGTAATGAAATAAGCATGACGGAAAAATCCAGCAGGACCCCACCACTGCAAATGAGAACGAATCCCACCATTTCCGCCTGGGTATTTAGTAACTGACAGCTGTGGAAACAGCTCTGTGTAAAGGGTGCAGCAATTTAAAGTGAGGTGCTGGTAGTTACCGCAGCCTCTACTTTTGTTTAGTTGAAACACCAAGCACAGTCTACTGTCACCTCACACCCAGAACTCAACCTCCCCTTGTGGATGCATCTTATGCAACTATAACATAATTATGTAGGCATATATCTACAGACCTTATTTGAATTTGTCAATTTTTCCAGTAAATGTCCTGTTTCTAGGATCATCCAACGTTGCTTTTAGCCATGTCCCCTTAGTGTTCCCCAGTCTTCCCTAACACCTTATATATAATCTCAACACTTTGGGAGTGTCCTAATGAGTTATTTTGTATGATGCTCCCCAGTCAGGGTAAGACATTTGCATCACTGAAAACGAGGACATGCAGTTTGGGACATGTGAGAAGTACCACATCCTTCTCTGTGCACCCTATCATGGGGTCGGGACACTGACATGTTCCACCTCTGGTGTTCATATGGATTACATGATCTGGCTGGCGTTCACTTCGAGGTGTTCATTTCCCTTTGGAGGTTCACCTGAGCCTCATGTCTCCTGAAACTTTCACCTGCTATTTTCAGCATCTATTAGAAGCTCCTGCCTATGAGGTTTACCACAAGGACATCTATCTGCTATTGGTGACTTCCTATCTCCCCTTTGACTTCCATGTGTGTTAACCGGATTTCTATATGAGGAGAGTCATGTTCTCATATCAACCTTTTACTCCCTGAGGAAAGGACCACATCTTGCTTCTAAGGAGCACAGCAGTAAGGAATGTTTCTCCCGCAGTGTTGCCACATGTGGGGAAGACTGAATGGTTCTGTAGCATGCGGTCAGTGGACGGCACACGACAGAAGGTACCCGGTTCTGCACGAGCTTGACCTCCAAAGCAGACTTCGCCTATGATGTGAACTGACTTAAGGGACAGGTAGGAATTCTTCAGAACTTGAGGGCTTTGCTCCTTATTATGGGTTTTATTTTTAATGGAAACAACTGGCGTGTGTGTGCACGTAGTGCATGTGTGTGCATGTAGTGCATGTATGTGTGTGCATGTATGTGGAAAAGAGAAGTAGACACGGGCATCTTCCTTGATTGCTCTCCACCTATACCCTGAGGCATGGTCTCTCCCAGAGCTCACTGAGCCAGCTGGCTTGGGGAGTCAATCAGTTTCCATCACTGTGACTGTGGGCGGGGCTACTGCAGCACCTGGCTTGAAGTGTGCTCTGGGGATTGTAGTTCTAGTCCTCGGGATTTCTCAGTAACTGCTGAGCCATCCTCCTAGTCCCTTCATCTAAAAATTTTGACCTGGAATCTTCCCCAAACTCAAGCTTTAAAGACTTGGTCTCTGAAGTGGTGTCCTCTGAGGTAGACCTAATGGAAGGCCTCTGGTTACTGGGACAACAGCTGATGAGGGAATCCTAAGATGGATGCCTCCTGTTCTTTCTTTTGCTTCCTGGCCACCAGCAAATAAGCAGCCATGTTCTAGCCTGTGTTCCCATTATGATGTAATACCCAACTTAGACCCAGAGCAACTGGCACCTTAACACATATCTAAACTTCCCAAACTCAGGTCTAGCAGCCATCTTTTCTCCTGTTAGCTCATGTCGGATCTGTCACAGCTATGGGGACCTAGTGCACTCCCACGACCAACAGGAGGTGACCCAGGCTGTGAGATGAATGAAAAGGAGGCAGATTCTCCCGCTGTGGGCTCCAGAGTTGGTTCCTGGGCTCTATTGCCAGGTCTCCCTCTTCTCAGTAAACATGGCCTTATTTTTAGGACCACCAGAGGCTTCAGTCTCATCCTGGAATTGTCTTGCACAAATCCGGGGATCGGTCTGTCACTCTTAGAAATCCTGGTTCCTGTTTCTGGTGACAAGCTCTAGGACTTAGCTCCAGGTTTCTGGAAGGCTCACGGTTAATGGTATTATAATGCTGTTTGCTCTCTTAGAGGATAGAGGCATATCCCAACCCATGTATCACATGAACTGACATGCCAATGTGTATATGTATAAAGACTAGTTTATATACACATCTCCAAATCCAGTCCCGAACTAGAGAACATTTGAGGCTTCTTACTAATAACCTCACCAATAGAAACAGACTCAAATTGATCTAAATCAACTAATTTCCTTAATTAAACATTAAACATTAAAAATTTAACAGTGTTGCTGTTCCATTTGCTTGCCAGGGCTGGCAGCACGTGCTCTGGCACTGGGGGCTGCTTCTAAAGTCAAAGTTAAAAACGTGCACAGAGCCACTCCCTCCTATGTACACCAGCCTGTAAACTCCAGTTCCTGGGGACTTGATGGCATCTTCTAACCTCTGTTGGCCCCAGGCACACATGGGGTATACTTACATAAATGCAGGCAAGTATCTATCTGAATACAATGTAAATAAACAATTCGTAA